TTCTGCGTCCACTGACGTTCTTTTCTGCGCCCACAGGCGTTTCTATCACTCATATGATCTTTTCCTTCCCTGTCTACTCATGGTTAGATATTGTAATAATAGTATTGAACAGTCTTATATCGTCATTTGTACCTATTATTCAAATTCTTGCTGCATATCTAATTGTAGTATAGTGCAACCCAACACATTTCATTTGGTATCCCCGCGCGTTTTTTCATTTACTTTTCTTTCTTTTCTTTTTTCATTATAACATAATCCCGAACACTTCTTTACACATCAATTTACATACACACACGGAGGGCCATACCTCCTATTAAAAATAGGGATTGGCGCTGATGGGGTTATACAAGTCAAAATGGCGAGGGGGGTCAATTTTTGGCGCCTCCAGCGCTAGTCTATATGCAGGGAGAGCCATCCCCTGGGCAGCAGCCCTGCCAAACCTTCGGGAAGACACCCCTCTGCACACGTGTTTGGCCGCGCGTGCGCTTAGATCTAGGTCAAAAAACGCTCAAAACTCAGCTTATTACTTCACAAAAACAAACTTTAGTAAGGTAAGGGACGGGGTCGGCCATTATGTACTCAACGATTTCGGAAATAACAATAAGGGTTGCAAGTGTAACAAAAAATGTAGAACATGCAGTATCACCAATATTGACAATTACATCGTATCGCATGTTACAGGATTACACATCAATACGTATAAAGAAGCAGATGCAAACTGTAGTAAAAAATGTTATATACTGTTTAACATGCAACGGCTGTGGAATACAATATGTTGGGATGACTAATAAGAAAACTCAAAGAAAGAATAGGGGAACACCTAACTAATATTTCTACACATAAAGTACACACACCCCTATACAATCATTTTTATAAATGTGACAAAGGAGTCACTGTTACCATACTTGACTCTATGAAACCTAATGATAAAACCAGTTTACTTGAGAAGGAACTGTTCTGGATTAAACTCTTAATGACACCATATCCGTTTGGTTTGAACGATAACATCAAAGGTTATGGAAACATTACAAACGTGGACAATCCTCTTCTATATAAAGGGAACCATCCCTTCTTCTCACTTAAAATTACAAAAGAAAGAAATAACAGAGGAACAGTACACAAAAGAAAGAAAAAAGGGATAACTTTCCAAAGAGCTTTGGAAGAAATCACCAATAGTAATGGAGAGTTTAAGCCTGTGGAATACTACAGGTTACTCAAAAGTCTACGGAGAAAAGAAGTCGACAAGATAGTAAATCTATCCAAGTCAGTAGACTTTCTTGAAACAGTTAATAACAAAACAAGATACCTCATATTTTGCCTACTGGCCCATTTTCATTTTGACACAGTTAATGTCAAAACTTCTAATAAAAAGAAGTTCCACAATATAGAAGTAGGCTTCAAAAGCAGGATTTTTAACGAAATACCTTTCAACAGAATATTCAACTCACACGTAGTTAAAGATATACTGCTTAAGAATAGAAGAACTACAATCGAATACACACCCATCAGAATCGTATATAAGTACAATAATCCAGTTTCAAGTAGAATATACAATTATAGCAGGGTATTGAAAGATCTTACCAACGAAGAATTAAGAGATATAATCAATAGAAACTGTGCTTGTATTGAGGACACAGTACAAGAATATGTAAATCATAATCATGGACACATCGTAACAGGAGATCTTAACATAATAAAAGAAAAGAAGCTCAAAACAATTATGAACAAAGGAACTAGATATAGATTGGACAATGGTATAACAAGGCCAGAAGTCAAACAAATATATGAAGACACAGTCAGCAAAGTTATTTCTTATTTCAAAAACAAGTATAAGGCTAACACGCAACAAGTAGATCTACTGCAACAATATCTACACACATGTTACCATGATAAAATAAAACCACTATTAACAAGTGAAAACATTAAAAATAAAGGGGAACACATACCGTACGAGTTAATAAAACGCTATCAAGACAGTTATGTTTTTGTCCCCTAGATAAAGCTAGTAATAATTATGGAATAATTTGCAAAAATACTACTTGCTTACTATAATGAAGGAAATGGGCATTACATATGATATTCAACAATCACATATATATCAATGAACCTACAATATTGATGACCAGTACAATGCGATAACAAGTATTCGTTGATACTGAAACACAAGTTCCTTTGTGTTAGAAATAACATTGATACATTTGCAGATGCGGATCTGCCTATCATATATGCGTTACCTAAACTACATAAAAATCCTATAAAGTTTAGATATATTACTGGTGCCCATAGAAGTAGCATTAAGCCTCTAGCACAAGAATTACACATTATTTTCACGCACATAAAAAATCACTTCGTTAATTATGTCAAAGTAATACAACAGAAATAGAACAATTAATCATATTGAGATCTATAATAATTATATAGTCAAGATCTTAAAATATTACATATTGAAAATCTTAAAAGTTATTTCAAGCAGTTTCAGAATGTTCACTATTTAGAACATACCATTATCATTAGGAACATACAGCATATCTTAAACATTTGCTTTAAGAATGCTAATAAGTCGCTAATAGCCACTAACGGCTATCACGTCTTCTATACAGATGGTGAATCAACAACTAATACCTATAGATATTACAAACCTGCTGATTTAATATATTTCACAGATTATTTGTTAAAAAACAGTTATTGCACATTTGGCAATTATATATTTAAACAAAACAAAGGAGTACCACAAGGAGGTAATTTCAGTCCGCTGTTAGCTGATCTTACCCTCTCCGTCATGGAATACAATTATGCAATAAGGTGTAAGTTTAATAAAAATAAGTTATTCATTCCATTCAGATATATGGATGATTTGCTAGTAATACATAACCAAACCGAGGATAATATTGACATACAACTAGCAGAAGTGTACATGAATACACTTGAATTGAAAAAAACACATTTAAGTGAAACATCTAGTAATTATCTAGATCTAACAATTAGTATAATAAATGACAGAGTTGTAACCAAATTGTATAACAAAACAGATGATTTTCAGTTTAATGTCATCAGATTCCCACACAATGACACGAATATCTCCATAAATAATAAAGGCTCCGTCATATACACTGAAACACTTAGAATAGCTAACACTTGTTCTGATTTAGACACATTTACTGATAAACTAACAGAATTCATAAGAGTGTTACTAAGAAATGGTTACCATGAGAACTTTATTATAACTAATGTAGTTAAGTGCTTTTATAAAAATAAGTTTATATGTTACAAATTTTCAATTGCTAATAATTATAAAAACATTAATAAGTTAGTGGAAGGAATACTTCGTCACTAAATTTCTACCTAAATGCTGGTGGAACACGTGCTAACGCCCACCTTTTACACTTTATATTTTTACATGTTCAGTAAACTTATATTTTCATTCAATTAGTCAATATATAATTCATTTCATTGCATGCTCCTCTGCATGATAAGTACGTCACATCAAGGTTTATTCGTCTTTCCCCTGTGTCTTTATTTCGCCAATCCCAACTCACTGATGAGCTCCGGGGATTGGCGAAATAATAAGGTTCGTCTGAGGAAGGAGCGAAACGAACCGTATCTATTATTTTGTTTATAATGGTTTTTTTTCTCGTTGATGGCACGTTTGCCGATGGAACTCGTTCATACGTCGCGTTTGGTGAGCTATTACCTGTTCTGCAGAAACGATGACCAAAAATGGCGGTCCCGTTCTACGTTTGTTTTTTTGGGGATTTTCAGCGATTTTTGCCCTGGGCGTTAACATCCGGGACACGTCTTCCTTTGACTTGTTAAACCATGGTGATGCTGCCTTTTAGGTAGTTATAGGAACATATTGGCGACCGCGTCCTATCGGAACTTGGAGAAGGTTATTGTAGGGAACGGGTGCACTGTTTCGGCCATTCCCTGTGCACAAAGTTTTCAACTCTAATGAGCAGCGTTTCCGTTCTCTATCGATCTTTGTGGCATTTCTTCCCCTTCACTCTTTTTTTTCGACACAGATGGACGCGCTGGGGTAAAGAAAGTATGAAGACAAACGAAAAGGATGTCAGGTGCCAGAGCCATATTTCTCGGAGTGCGGCTTGCAGGCAATAATAAATGGGTAATCATCTCTTTGATCAATGCAGATAGTTTTTTCTATTGTTGGCATTTCCTTTCCTAAGCCTTCGAGGACAATCTAATCTGTTAATGAGAGCTATGATTGATGTACGATGGGTTCGGTGGCTTCGATGCAGTGGGATTTAGGAACATCACTAATGGAGCAGTAAAAGACTGGCAACAGCAACGAAAACGATTTTGATATTGTATTCGTAATGACCAGGCTTTCGGAGAAGACGGGACTAAGTTACTCACATTTTTTTCATGTTCATGAGAGAGTAAGTATCGAAGAATGTTAGAGTAAGCTGAAATCGACAGCTCCCTTTAAAGGTATGATCACATGGCTGGCGGAATAGAGCGTTGACTGTTCATTGATGAGAGGGATGAGGGCTTGTTACACACATTTTCTCGCGCTGGAGAAAGGAAAGATCTAGAAACGCTATTGAGGCTTTTTCTCACTGTGAGGTCACAATAAAAATATTCTTTCATAGTCTTTCCATAACCGTAATTCAACGGTCCATCGTCGAACTGGAGAATTAGAGGGCCCACTTTGTACGAGACGGTGCCGGAAGCTCGCATGCTCCTAAATGAGTCAAAATGACAGCGGTCGCAGCGGTCAATACAAAGTCTCGGCGCCCTGTTGCGCATTCACTTCGCCACAGTGCCACGACTCCTGTGCCTAGGACCCAGCTACTCTATCCACGGAAAGAATTGCTCTGAGGAATAAGACGCCAGAGAGCCTTCGTGCCTTTAGAGCAACTGAGCTCACCGTCCCAGTGCGCGTAAAATTGTAGACCTCAGTTTAGTTGGGCGGGTTGACCTAATGACCTCTCCTGGTAAGAGTAAAATGCCAGAGAGCGTGAGGGTATCGAAGGAATACTGACTGTAACAACAAGCTCGGCCATGTACGAGTCCAAACCACTGGTGGGTTCATCACAAAACAGTATTGGTGGATTGCTGAGCATCTCCGACGCAAATGCGAGCCGCTTCATTTCGCCCCCTAAAAAATAACGATAAAAATCCAATTTGGTCACAATAATGGGCCAGCATTTACCTGATATCCCCTTAACGATACCTGGCACACCGATACGAGAAGACTGTGTCCCTTCAAGTAGCATATCTTTCATGACCTAAAATACCTAATACTTTGAATTCTCAACGCTGTCCGACTATTTCTGCTGCTGTTCCTCAGCGAGTGAGTTTCCACGGTTTTCAGGCAGGATGAAGAATTTTCCGAGTCACCTCTTCAACTCTTGCAATGCGCATTGCCGTTGTGAATGAAGATGGTAGTTTCATTTTGGCTTGGATCATTAGATGTTCCCGCACCTGAATAGGTTGTGCAGTTCAGAAGCAAAGAAAAGGCTGAAGTAGTAATCCATAGCCATAACCAAGCGTCAACCAAGTTTTTAGATTGTGGTACTCATCCAAAATGAATACAGGTCATTGGATTCTTTCCTGACAAGGAAAGACCAATTAGTCAGTCTGGCCATTTTAAACGAGGCGCCGAGTTCAAATCTGCTCCATTCAGCGGAAGGATCTCCTGAAAGAACGTTATGAAGCAGGAAAGCGCAGAGGGAATGACCCTAAGTCGCAGGCAAAAGGTCGTTAGATTGACTCAAATATGAATTTTAGGTTTCTCTAATTGAATTTCTGAGAAGAGGAAAGTGTGAATCTGCACT